CGTGATGGACGACCAGAGCTTTAAAAAACGTTTTCTTTGCTTAAATACTGGAATAAAACCATTGATATCATGAAGCTCCAACTCGAAAAAGTTACTTCCATCAATTTGATTTTCTTGAAGGTAAAAAAAAACATAGAAATAAATACTTTTACAACAGTATTAAGGGAGGAATTTCAAATGTTCATTTTAATTCCCTCTTTTACAAAAGCGATAAAAATATATGCAAAAACACTTCATTTTACCTTCAAACTCATTTATCAAAAATGAAAAGTCGTTCTTTTCCAAAAATTCGATAACTTGATCCTCAGTTGAACTTTCGTTTAAGTTAAAAAAAGACATTTTATAGCACAAAAATGCAGAAGCGTAGAGAAGCGAGGTTCGTAAAAAGAAAAGACCAGTAATTTTGGCGTGATATCCCATGATTCATCTGCCGCAAAAGGTCCTAGCTCCAGTCCCTTCGCGAATTGTTGGCGTGACTTCCCTCAAATTTTTTTACATGAATTTTTTCACAAAGTATTTTTATCCAAACTCGTTTTTAATGGCTTTATTTCGATTTTATGTGCAGTTATTCATGATATAAGAATATAGTCGTATTAACAGAACATTTTACTGTAGACAATCATTTTTCATATTTACGACATTCGATATTGCTGACTGGGCAAAATGAATGTTCACAAATTAAAGTAAACAAGGATGATCCAAGTTTACATATTGTTTGTGATGTGTCTGGATGTCAGTCCACCTTTTCTCGAGTTTTTAGCTACAAAAGTCATCTTCGGCGCACTCACAAAGACATTGATACTAACATCAGACAACCGATGAGGGCCATTGACATTGTGGAGTCGGAAGTACCAGATAGAGGGGGCGATAATGATGAAATAGCACAAAATGATGATGAAATTAAGCGTTTGAATGCATTGTCCTGGGGGAAACTGAAAGAAGTGCATTATCTCACTCAAACATCCCTCGACAGTGTAGTAGAAGGCACAACAGCTATTGTTCAAAATATGGTGCAAGCAATACGAAAGGAAGTTGAGAAAAAGGTTCGAGAGTCCGGTCAAGAGCTGATGGATTTTGACGGATTGGCTGATGTATTTGACAAGACCCAGCCCTTTTTTTAAATTTTTTTATTAACTTAATCGCACGATTGATGGAAAGGACAACAGAACTATTTGTTCCTTATTAAGTCCCACCAAAAAATTAACAAAAATTACACTAAACATATAACGGTACATAAAATTACAGTCACAATATATCATGAACTATGACAAAATATTCCTACATATTTACGAACAACAGTTTGTTTGCAACAAACGACACTTGCTACACAGAGTTTTCCACGTTCTAGGTCTATCTATATCAAAGACGGTGTTCAGTTTAATTGGTATAATATATATATAGTTTAGTCTTAAGGATAGCAACTGAAGACGACGCTTTTATACCAGAAGGTAGATTATTCCATAAAAAAGCAATTGTATTAAAGTACAAGTCTCTAAAGAGAGAAGTTTTACACAAATTTGGACAAAGAGAATCGCCAGAACTGGAATGGGTTGAGTGATGAAGAGCTGGTTAATGAATTGATTAGTGCCAAGTTCGTACAGTCCGGATTTCCATTTATAGAAGAAGATGGTGTCTTTAATTTCATGCCAATAAGATAGAGGAATTAGATTGAGTTTTTTCAAACGATCAGGATAGGAAAATTCTTTGAGAATGAATTTCGTAGCTTGATGTTGAATACCCTCGAGACGAAGCAAATCAGCAGAAGGTCCTTGAGGAGCCCAGATTGCACATCTAAATGACAAGTGAGAACGAACCAGAGACAGATACAGAAGGCGACGAGCGTTCACATCAGTGAGGTGGAAACAATTTTGTCGTAGAAACCCAAGTATTCTGTTAGCCTTAGAGACTATATTGATAACATGAGAGGACCATTTCAAATCGTTGCTAACCAAGATACCCAAATCATTCTGAGTCGCGGCAAACTTAATTGGTTTTTGGTTTAAAACATAACCTTGGGTTGGAGCAGACGTTTTTCTCCGTGAAAATCGGAGAGGGGCACATTTCTTGGTATTAAAATTTAGATCCCATGTGGATGACCAGTGATGGAGAGAATCCAGGTCGGATTGAAGTAGATTTCTATCACGTGGCTGGGTTATCTGACGGTAACATTTACTGTCATCAGCAAACAAAAGAACCGTGCTGTGCTTAGCTGCGTTCGGAAGATTGTTTGCAAAGATCAAGAATAGAAGAGGTCCTAGTATACTCCCTTGTGGGACACCTGACATTGCGTAAAGAAAGGAGGATGATATTCCGTCAACTACCACTCGTTGTCGCCTTTCATTCAAGTAATCCGTGAACCACTTCAACAATGTACCCGAAATGCTGTGTTATTCGAGTTTAAAAAGAAGCTTTGGATGGGAAACGGAGTCAAAGGCTTTCGAGAAGTCTAAATAAATCATGTCAGCTTCTTTTCTGGAATCTAAAGCCACGCCAACGTCGTGAAAAACGCGAAGAAGTTGAGTGGTACAAGATCGTTTTCTGCGAAAACCATGTTCTAAGTCACTTCTCACAATCCTCAGCGAGGATTGAACAAACTCAGACATGTGAATATGAACGACTTGTTCCAGAAGTTTGGAGACTAAGAACAGCAAGGAAATCGGTCGGTAATTGCTGATTTCATGAATGTCACCTCTCTTAGGAACCGGAACTACATTAACTTCTTTCCATTCCTGAGGAACTTTACCAAGAGAAAGGGACTTGTTGAATAGCGCTGTTAAAGACGGAGCAATTTCGTTCGAACATTCTTTCAACAATCTGGCAGACTTCTTCTGTTGATACAGTAATAGACTCGAGATTATTCTGACTGGAAAGAGATGGAGAAACAATGGGAGAACTTGATGAAACGGGACGAAAAATGGAGGCGAAATATTTGTTGAAAGCATCGGCTTTCCCTTCTGCAGTTGTGACTTGTTGGTCGTTGTGAGTCATAGTGTCAGGAAGAGAAGAGCCGGTCGTCTTAGCTTTAAAGAATCTCCAGAAATCCTTGGGTTTATCTTTAACTGAGCTTGCTAGGGTGGAAATGTATTCACGCTTCTTCGATCTTATCAAGGTTTTGATACTACGTCGTAGCTCTCGAAACCGTTCCCAAATATGGTCGACTTGGCTCTTTTTCTCAGCGTTTTCTTCGTATTCAAGGCATGAATAATTTCTTGTGTGATGTAAGGAGGCTTATATGATCTTTTTACATTAGACTTGGGGATGAAGGAATCAACAGCAGCGAGGAATAGATCTTTCAATTTAGCCCAAGCGGTGTTGATATCGCTTTCTTTTCCTACAGTGTCTCACAATGGAAGACACGTTAAAGTAGCACGGAGGGAATTAAAATCACCTTTCAAATCACGTTTGCGCATGTTAAAACTAAAAGTCATCAAACAGCGTATCAGAAAACAATTTTTTCATTAGTGGTAAGTACAATGAAACAATAGCCAAAAGATATGTTAAGAATAAAATGAGAATATGATAAACACTTAGTCTCATCAAAATATTCAATAAGTCATTGTTCCGTTACTAATTTACTACTACACCATAAGGTTTAGAGATAGGCTACCCTTTGTTGTAAGTTCCCAGCGCAGTGCCGCCAGTTTTTCACACAGCAGTTGCTTCTGCTACTTAATGTACAAATATGTATATAGTATTGCTTAAAATACGTCATAGTGATTCATTGTAATTTAATACCAACATTGATTGAGGCAAATATGTAAATTCAGTTGTGATCAGATCGTAGCGAGACGAGGAAGTCTAAAATCGCGTTGTAAATAGATAATCTTTCCAATGAAATAAATCGATAGAATACAGTCCCCTGAATGTTATTGTGTGTGAACCAGTGTGCGCGGAGATCAAAGTGAAGATTCTGCAAAACAGTGGTCCGATCGAACCAGATTTGTGAATTGTGTACGAGGCTGCGAACAAAGAACGTTTGATATTTGCGCTGCCGTCGATAGTGGAAAGATTTGCGTAAAGTTTGAAAACGAAGAGTATGGACGATCTGACGAAGAAAAAGTGAGTTAGAGGAGGCCACAGAGCATTGGCAAGTAAGCTGGTGGCAAAGATAATGGAAGCGATACCGAAAGCAAGCCCAGAGAGCCCAGAGAAGGACTTAGTATGGCTGAGACAAAGCCAGATCACATTACGAGACAAAATCAAAATGTTGAAAGAGCTCGATGAACAAGTCATTGATATACTCAGCGCATCGAAAGACGAAGACGTCGACGAACAACTTGGCAAAGAGATCGAGGATTCAGACGAAGCGATCGCAGAATTGGAAAGAACGTTGCTTCAACTCGATGACGCGCTAGGAAAACTCGGAGGACAAAGCCTGCCATTGTTGACGCCAACGAATCTCACATCAGCCGAAGGAAACCTTGATCAAAGTCATGTTTCAATATCAAGTGCGGGTAAAATCATAAGAGCGAAGCTTCCGAAACTTAGACTACGGAATTTCGGCGGAAAGATTTGTGAATGGCCAGAGTTTTGGGATGGATTTTCCAGCTCGATAGACAACAATGACCAATTGTCGGATGTTGACAAGTTCGCCTATCTGCGCGGATATTTGGAAGGGCCAGCAAAGTCTACCATCACTGGTCTCTCGTTGACGGGAGCGAATTACAAGTGTGCGGTGGAATTGTTAAAGAAACGGTTCGAAAAGAAAAGCGCAGTACAACGGGCGCACGTAAATGAACTGATACAATTGCCGGCGGTTTATAAAGAAAGAGACACACAAAGATTACGGAAGTTGTATGACAGCTGCGAAGCGAACAACCGCGCATTGAAAGCCCTGGGAGTGAACGAAGACTCGTATTCAGCCATTGTTGTTCCAACAATCATGGAAAAGTTGCCAGAACAGTTTCGTTTGACCATCATGCGAGGGCAGAACTTTCTAGAATGGTCGATGGAAGAAATGTTAGACGCCTTTGAGGAACTCGAACTTCGCGAAGCGCACAATGCAGTGGGAACGAATTCGGATCGAGAGCAGGAAAGACACGAGCGAAATTCGGGTATAAAGAAATATGGCCAACATCATCATGGAACTGCAGCTGCACTGTTAGCAAACGAAAGGAGAGGAAACTGTGCCTTCTGTCTGAAGAACCACAATCACGAAGACTGCGGAGGGAGTGAAAGATCCGAAGACACGAAAGAGTTTGGCTCGTAAATACGGTAGATGTTTTCTTTGTTTATTTAAGGGCCATAGAGCCAGTATCCCAAGTGCTTAAGAAGGGAACTGTTAGGGATTAATACGTTTGGTCAAAAATGTACCAATGCCGAGCACAGGGAGGTGGTCGAATTAAAGCTTGAACCTGTTAACGGGAATAAGTTATTTCCTTAGAAGCATTTGTAGTGCCAGAAATTTGTAGAATACAGAATGGCCATGTAGAACATAGCAAGGAGAGAATACCCACATTTGAAAGGTATATGGTTTTCAGATGTCTCGAAGTACCAGGGTAAGTTAGAGACAGATGTGTTGATTGGGGCAGATTACCTCTGGAATTTTCAGACAGGTGTAACCAAGAGAGGTAAATCAGGAGAGCCAGTTGCCATAGAAACTGAGTTAGGATGGGTTTTATCAGGGCCTTTGAGAGTGCAAGATATAGAGGGAGCAGAGTTAGCCCAAGTAAATTTTGTAGCTCAGAGAATGAATAGTGAAGATAGTTTGGAGAGTAATGTACAGAAGCTGTGGAGTTTTGAAGGGTTAGGTATCTGTGAGGAAGATAAGGTTCATGAGGAGTTTTTAGATGGCATATCTTTTACAGGTAGTAGATATGCAGTGAAACTACCCTGGAAAGAACGCCACGACAAATTGCCTGACAATTATGCAAATAGCTTAGGTAGAATCAGTTGCGACGATTGAAGGAGGAGCCAGCATTGTTGACAGAGTATGATTCTATCATCAGAGAACAGGTAGAGCAAGGGATTGTAGAACCAGTAGCAGCATTAGAGAAAGTTGATAAAGTTCATTATTTACCACACCAGGCAGTCATTCGCAAGGATGCAGTGACCACAAAGGTTCAGGTTGTTTATGATGCTTCATCTAAGGAATGTAAGTCAGGAACATCACTTAATGACTGCTTGCATGTTGGGCCATCCCTCAATCCATTACTATATAGCATACTGATACGGTTTAGAGAAAACAGGATTGCTTTAGTAGGCGATATTGAAAAGGCTTTTTTGAATGTGGAGGTTGATGAGGCAGATCGAGACTGTTTGAGGTTTTTGTGGGTAAATGATATTGAGAGTGATAAGTGGGAAACAGTTGTTTATAGGTTTTGTAGAGTAGTATTTGGATTGAATGCATCTCCATTCTTACTCAATGCAATATTAAGGCATCATGTCTTAAAGTATCTTGAAACCGATCCTGAGTTTGTGAAGAAGGTGATAGAAAGTTTCTATGTAGACGATTTAGTTAGTGGGGAAAGTACGGTAGATAAGGCATTTCAGTTATATGATAAGACTATGAGTAGAATGGCACAAGGGGGATTCAAGCTAAGAAAGTGGTCAACTAACAGTAATCTATTGGAAAGTAAATTTAAGGTGCATGAGACAGACCAATGTAAGATAAAACACATTGTTGAGGATCATCAATCATATGCAAAACTATCCCTTGGAGTAACAGGATGTGAATCAAAATGCCATAAAGTGTTAGGACAGGCATGGGATAACAAGAGCGATGAGTTTAAGTTTGAGATTGCGAGAGTGGGGGAAAGGGCAAAAACCTTGTTAGATTATGTAATTTATTGTTGTAAAAGAAACTAAAAGGTTCACAAAATATAGTTTTCCCGCTTGAAAACAACAACTACACCGATAATGGCGGATCTAAATAACGTTCAACGAACGTATAGTCACGTGTCCGATGTACTGTATATATTAACTGTATTACGGTACTTTATGCTAATTTATGCTAAATAATATCAACCATATAAATATAGTTTAAACTTTAAACTTTAAACACTAAAAGTACTTATCTCAACACCCCCACTCAGACTCAGCTCGTCCTTAACTATGATGAGTCTGACGTGTTGTTGATGTTCTTAATTCCCTAAGAGTACTGTTCTGTGTTTTGCCACTTTCACTCGAGGTAATGATTTCGTCAGAATGTCCGCAGTCATTTCTTCGGTTGGAACATAATGTATCTTTATTTCTTTATTTTCTACCCTTTCTCGAATGAAG